TCCGAATCGAGCGCCCGTGACTGCGAGAATCAGCTCATGGAACTCTTCGACTTCCAGAGCTTCCACATCACCGCCAAATTCCTCAGAAATCGCGACCTCGTGTGGTGCACTAAACTGATGCGTAGTGACGCTGATGAACGCGTCAATGTTGAGGTTGCTATGCGCGAGAAGGGAGTTGGGTGGATTCTTCGAGAGCTGGCGGGTGACAGGCAAGCGAAGCCTCGTTCTGACGCTATGGAGGTTGATGAGCCCAAGATTGAGGTTCCAAAGACGGCCACTGTTGCGCCGGGCTCTATCGTCCAACCCAGACGGACAGTGGATCTCGATAGCATGGCGGGCACTTGATGTCGAACAAGAAGTGCAACTGCCTGATGGTTCGTTCAAGCGGGCGAAGAAAGGTTACGAGGAAATCCATGCCATCCCTGCCCCAAAGCAGAAGCCTACCACGGAAGGCGACTTTGTCCCCATAACAGCTCTACCAGCTTGGGCTCGCGAGGCGTTCACAGTTCCCAAGCTTAATCGCGTTCAGAGTAAAGTCTTCCCCATCGCTTTCGGTACAGACGAACCAATATTGCTTTGTGCTCCAACTGGCGCGGGAAAAGTACATCTTTCATGTTGATATGCAGCTTCAACTCCCTAATCGTCGCTCTCACAGAGAAACGTCGCCATGTTGACAATTCTCAATGAACTTGCCAAGCACCGTGACGAAGAGACCGGAACGTTCGACCTGGATGCTTTTAAGATTGTCTACGTCGCTCCCATGAAGGCCCTTGTCCAAGAAATGGTCGGAAACTTCACAGCCCGGCTGAAGGTCTTTGGAATTAAAGTCGGCGAGCTTACTGGCGACTCCCAAATGACCAAACAGCAGATTGCAGAGACCCAGATCATCGTTACCACGCCGGAGAAATGGGATGTCATCACGAGGAACATGACCGACACATCTTACACCAACCTCGTATCATCATCGATGAAATCCATCTCCTACACGACGAGCGAGGACCTGTTTCGGAAAGCATCATCGCCCGGACCGTCAGATGGGCTGAACAACGATCCGAATTCGTGCGCCTTCTTGGCCTTTCGGCTGCTTTGCCCAATTACGAGGACGTTGCGACCTTCCTTCGCGTTGATGAGATGAAGAGTCTCTTCTACTTTGACGCGTCATATAGGCCTTGCGGTGTTCAACAACAGTTCATCGGGGTCACGGGAAA